TCGTTTAAAGGGTCCGGAATTCTGTCACGGGTCGCTACTGTGAGGAGCTCGGAGTGAGGAACGAGGAGACCAGGAGTACAAAACAAAGGGGTTTAATATGCTCTTCAGGGAATCACACGTAGCACAAGGAGGGGACATAAACAATTCCGGACCAAGAAACTCAGAACGGGACTCATTATAAATACAGACACCGATGGGACACACCTGGGAGCAAATTAACTAATTAAACAAACACAGCTGGAACCAAATTCATACAACGAGGACAGGAACAGGAAGGACCAAATAAGGAAAACAGTAACTAAACGGGAACATACACGTGACACGTGACAGGCCTATTAGGAGCAACTATATTATTACATTAGCAATCACTAATATTGCCCACGTGATTTTTGATTTTATATGCACACATGCTTTTTATGTATTATCATACAGTACAAAAATGACATTCTATATCTGAGAAACTAAATTATTATTGTTAAGCACATGTTTAAACAGATATTTGCAGACAGAGTATTTCACAGTAATGATTGGTCTAAACATTCTTAGACATGACTTTTATATCGTCTAAACAATACTTTTATATATTGTTTATAGAACATAAAACCATCCTCACGCTATATATTTCAAAATGTTGCACCCGATTTCACACATTTAGTCTGGAATTATAGTTTGGGAAAAGGCCAACTAGTAAATGCGTTCAAGTTTATGTCAGAACAACACATTATCTAATGCAAATACGAAACATTACTTACTCGGAATGAAAGATCTCCTCCGCTGGCTCTAGCCACACTCGCGTTCTGTTTGTGAGGTAAACATAAAGCTTATTCCTCTCAGCGCGTCTTCTGAGGTAAATACAAGGCTTATTCCTCTCAGCGTCTTCTTCAAAAAATGAAAAGTATCCAAGATGAACATGTTGCTGCTTTGTTTACGGCAATGTTGGCGTTTACATGTCGCGCGTCTCACGTGGAGATTTGTAATATCAATAGCGCGAGCAGCGCGTGGGCGTGATCTAAATAGAGATAATGAGTATAGACAGAAAAACTGGACCTGTTTGTTGGTTTCATATGGATTACTTTATCAGAGAATATTTGTTTTTGGTAAGAGTTAGTTCATTTAAGTGTAGACATGTCAAGCTTTCTATAGATATATTTATCATGTCTATTTGTAAAGTATTCGCTGAGTTTCAGTTCATTTTAGTGACGCGTTTCTTAAAGCAGTTCGCGGAGACAGTAAAGATGAGAGCGCACCCTCTTTGTTTTCTTTATTTTACAAAAGCACAAAGTTTTGTTGATATGGTGAGCATACACAAATAAAAGTAGACTCTTTACAGATTCAAGTGATGTATTACTTTTATCTGTCCAATCAAAAGTAACAGAGCATTTTAAGTTCTTTTCTCTGTCATCTGGAAAATAAGCAAGTGCTCCCGCCGGCGTCTTTGCCGACCCCAGGTGGTTAAAACATTAGAATTGCTTTGGTCGCCATAACTGTGTGTTTGTTTAGACATGTTTGTTATGGCAAAAAAGCCAAGCGAAAATGTGATCAGGTGTTGGTTATGCTTCAATAAAGACAAAATCAGCATATAGTTGCTTGAATGACTGATTTAAATTGGAATATAACCACTGATAGTTTTATTAGTTAATTATGTTATTCATCTTATGATATGACGTTTAAGATCTGACAGTTTTAAGAATATTCTGCAAGACTTTTGAAACTTATTCTGCACTAAAAGTGTATATTTTCTTTATCAAACAGACTTCAAGAATCAGCATATGAATCTCAACAATGGTGACAATCAACATATACAACGAGGACAGGAACAGGAAGGACCAAATAAGGAAAACAGTAACTAAACGGGAACATACACGTGACAGTTGATAGGCCTATTAGGAGCAACTATATTATTACATTAGCAATCACTAATATTGCCCACGTGATTTTATATCACAAATGCACACATGCTTTTTATGTATTATCATACAGTACAAAAATGACATTCTATATCTGAGAAACTAAATTATTATTGTTAAGCACATGTTTAAACAGATATTTGCAGACAGAGTATTTCACAGTAATGATTGGTCTAAACATTCTTAGACATGACTTTTATATCGTCTAAACAATACTTTTATATATTGTTTATAGAACATAAAACCATCCTCACGCTATATATTTCAAAATGTTGCACCCGATTTCACACATTTAGTCTGGAATTATAGTTTGGGAAAAGGCCAACTAGTAAATGCGTTCAAGTTTATGTCAGAACAACACATTATCTAATGCAAATACGAAACATTACTTACTCGGAATGAAAGATCTCCTCCGCTGGCTCTAGCCACACTCGCGTTCTGTTTGTGAGGTAAACATAAAGCTTATTCCTCTCAGCGCGTCTTCTGAGGTAAATACAAGGCTTATTCCTCTCAGCGTCTTCTTCAAAAAATGAAAAGTATCCAAGATGAACATGTTGCTGCTTTGTTTACGGCAATGTTGGCGTTTACATGTCGCGCGTCTCACGTGGAGATTTGTAATATCAATAGCGCGAGCAGCGCGTGGGCGTGATCTAAATAGAGATAATGAGTATAGACAGAAAAACTGGACCTGTTTGTTGGTTTCATATGGATTACTTTATCAGAGAATATTTGTTTTTGGTAAGAGTTAGTTCATTTAAGTGTAGACATGTCAAGCTTTCTATAGATATATTTATCATGTCTATTTGTAAAGTATTCGCTGAGTTTCAGTTCATTTTAGTGACGCGTTTCTTAAAGCAGTTCGCGGAGACAGTAAAGATGAGAGCGCACCCTCTTTGTTTTCTTTATTTTACAAAAGCACAAAGTTTTGTTGATATGGTGAGCATACACAAATAAAAGTAGACTCTTTACAGATTCAAGTGATGTATTACTTTTATCTGTCCAATCAAAAGTAACAGAGCATTTTAAGTTCTTTTCTCTGTCATCTGGAAAATAAGCAAGTGCTCCCGCCGGCGTCTTTGCCGACCCCAGGTGGTTAAAACATTAGAATTGCTTTGGTCGCCATAACTGTGTGTTTGTTTAGACATGTTTGTTATGGCAAAAAAGCCAAGCGAAAATGTGATCAGGTGTTGGTTATGCTTCAATAAAGACAAAATCAGCATATAGTTGCTTGAATGACTGATTTAAATTGGAATATAACCACTGATAGTTTTATTAGTTAATTATGTTATTCATCTTATGATATGACGTTTAAGATCTGACAGTTTTAAGAATATTCTGCAAGACTTTTGAAACTTATTCTGCACTAAAAGTGTATATTTTCTTTATCAAACAGACTTCAAGAATCAGCATATGAATCTCAACAATGGTGACAATCAACATAAAGCTCCATGTCGCAGTGCATTCTGGGAGCACCAATCAAAACTCAGCATGCAGTGCGACATGAATAAATTATGCAGCTGAACTGTCTTAGTATTTTATTTTATTCTTACTATTCTTACTATTAACAGGGGTTTAAATCTAATGCTTGTTTCATTTGATGTCACCATAATGGTGATTAGTTTTTCAATTAGTTGGGCTCTTAACTCTTATTATGAATTATTTGACTTATTTGGCTGCTGTGACAGTGTGTTTAACAAACACATTTGCAGTCCATGATAGTTTGCTATTGGTTTCACGATTTTGGTTTCACAAGATATCAGCAATCAGCATGTGAATGTCTACGGTGCAGTTTTATACAGGAAACATATTACTGGCACAACACAACCGTTAGAGTCAAATGATATTAGTGAATCAGGCTATTTCATTCATGTGGAATCATCAATAGACGACTATCATCACCTGATCTCATTTTGTCTTTATTTGCTTCTGTAAAAGTGTTTGATAAATACACCATCACAGCAGCCAGCAAAAACAAACTAATTGTAATAAGAGTTAAGAGCCCAACTAATGGAAACACTAATCACCATTATGATGACTTCAAATGAGACACACGTTAGATTTAAACCCCTGTTAATTCGCAATAAGAACTTCTGTAGACATCTGACAGAAAGCCAGTCTGGTTAGTAATAAGTGAAGCTGGTAATGCTGTTTGTGGAGTTGTTTAATCCTCCTCTGCTGAGATCTTCAGAGATTTAGTGCCTTTTATCTTCAGTTGATTTAATCTGTGGCTGCAGTCAGTTGTAGTTCTTGAGTTTTTGTTTGTCTCTTTTTTTTCTGTTCAGTTTTTTTCTTCAGTGATTATGCTTGTTGTCTTAGACAAACTGAGAAGACTCTATAAATGATATATGAAGATTTTGTGGCTCAGAAAAGGTCCAGCGTGGTTTATTTCTTTGCTCTTGGCTGACATGTGGCATTGCTACGGCCTGCTTTTGGCCCAGATCTGGCAAACAGGAGCGGTCCACCCAAATGCCATCATCCCACGCTACATGTGGGTTTTTACATTTTTAGTTTTTCTCTTTTACCCAATGAACATTTGGATACCGATAAACACAGGGCACAAGACTCTGGCTTTCTTTGTTTTCTTTGAAGCTCCTTATGAAATAACAAGAGAGAAAATACTGTCAAGTTCAACAGTATGATGAATAAATATTAACATCTAAACTGATACTTTAACCTATTAACTAAACACTAATTACCATAATAGACCTCTAACAGAAATAAAGTCACTCTGATTAATAATAAGTGAAGCTGGTAATGCTGTTTGTGTTGTTTAATCCTCCTCTGCTGAGATCTTCAGAGATTTAATGTATTTTATATTCAGTTGATTATTTCTAAGGCTGTGGCTGAAGTCAGTTGTTGTTGTTGTGTTTCTATTTTTCTCTTTTTTTTCTGTTCTCTTCTTTCCTTCAGTGATCATGCTTGATAATGTGCTTATTAAGGTCGAGTTGACTCCATATTTAATATACACATATTTTGTGGTTTATTTCTTAGCTCTTGGCTGACATGTGGCAATGCTATAGCCGGATCTGGGCAGATAATATGTTGCTATCTGGGTTGGCAATAAAGTTCTGATTCTGATCTGTGTTTTTACAGAATATTTTTCAAAGTGACTGGCTCATGCTGCAGTTGGACACAGTGATGCGGGAGATGTTCAGAGACATTGATGGAGTCATCTTCTTAGATGTCTGGCAGATGACTTCCTGTCACTATCTACGTGAACACA